ATAGTTTCCAGCTATTTATTACAAACAACTTGTAAACAAATCTCTGAAAATAGAAAGGCTGTTTGTTGCATTAAACAGAGATTGGCTTCTTAGCATTAATTTGAATGCAGTTAACATTCAGCTTTAAAGAAAACATTGTTCATCCTCATAAATATGACAGTTTTGCTTTCTTTAATTGTAGCTCCAGGTGACTTGCGGGAAATCCAGAAATCGTTATTACTTCGATATTGATGATCACAGCACCGGCTTTTAGCGTCGACGTGTAATTATTGGTGCTTTACACAAGTGTATTATGAATGTATTCAACCCGCAATTAGGAAAAGTGCCAAATCAGATTAGTTGTATTTACATAAGTCATTTGGTGTTATCTAATTACTTCACTTTCTAAGGCAACAATCCATTTTATATTCCCTGTATTTTACAGGTTCACCCCACAGGCCCCTCAAATGTAGAAATCAATAGGGTTCCTTACAATTATCGCAATAATAAGAACATACACAAATCTAGTGTGTTATTCATTTAAAATATAGACTATCATTATATTATTATACTTTACACAAAACACTAGAATCTGGTGACACCAGTGCTGAGAAACTCCAGCCTGCAGAAAAACATCACAGAAAGTTTTCGTCAGTGTTTCCACAACTAATTTATTTTTATTTGAATCTTTCGCCATTTTTGCTTGTTTTTTCTGTCCTCTTTCATTTTTGTTTGTTTGAGCAGGTAAATTAGTAGAATACAAAATGCCGTCCGAAAAGTTTCTCTTTTCGTTATCCGTTTTGATTTAACGGGTCAATTAAAAAAATACTGTAAAGAATAAAATGGAAACATTGTACATTTTACAATTAACCTGATCAGATATATATGTTTAAAATAATTTAAACACAAAAATTGTAAATTTAAACCAATATAAATCTAAAAGCCAAATATGTATTTTTTGCTTGTCTTACATTTTTTGCATTAGGACTGTTAATTTGTTATTATTTCCTAAAAGAAACCATAAAATGCACGATACATACAAATTGCCTTGCACCATTAGAAGTAGAATATATAATGCAGAAGTTATAGCTTATTGCAAAGTTTGAAATACAATTTGGTGCTCGTAAAAAGTCCCTTTCAATTAGAATTTTTGTTAGAAGAGAAACATTCTCAAATTCTCTTTTTTATCGTGTTTTTTTCTCCTGCAATTTATAAGCTTGTGCAATCCAGTCTATAGGTGTGTATTTTTGATTCGGTCTGATTTTAAATAATGGTGGCATAGGCAGTCCTATTATAAAATAATGAAATAATAAAAAAATAAAAATAAAAAAACGGCTCTCTTACCAATCCCCTTATTTTTAGGTTGATTTACTATAGCATGGTTCCAATGATATTTTAGATAGAAATGGTTCATTTTTGTCTCTAGCGATCACACTGAGGGGAGGAGAGAAGGGATGAAAACAGAGGAGAGCCAGCAGTCCTGTCTGCAGCAGCCTCCATCCTCCACGCCTTTCGGTAAGTCCGACAACCGATACACTATACAGTGAGTATAATAATCACAGGATGAACTTTTTGGATTAATTTATCATCTATGAAAATCATGAAGACCACAAATAAGAATATCAAAGCATTTGATCCTGTCCATTTTGTCCGCGTTTTTAAGATCCTATAGACATTCAGGCCTAAGATTATAATAGAATAAAATTATTATTTAAAATAAATAAATAAATAAAATATAATATTGATTCAGTTTTTTAACAACCAACACAACATTAGACTATTATCGTAATACTGGGCTTACCCTATGAGGAACAAAATGCAACAAAGCCAAGGCTATCATATGTTGTAACATATGACTTATGTTACCCTATCGTAAGAATTAAAATAATAATATAATAATAGCAAGATCGACTGTCTTTAAATGTAAATAATTCAAGCTGATCGTTTACATAAAGTCGAAATAGGAGTGAAATAAACAAATATCCAGATGTTAAATATCCAGATTTTTGATTGAGAAAATTAATATCCAACACCGAGGTTGCCATAAA